GTTCGCTTTTGCCCAGCCTCTCCCCCCACTCCTTGCCATGTTCTGCGTGTGCAGATGGGCTTCGCTCGAGACTTTGGACACGGCCTTGGGCTCTCTCCATGTGGCACTAACCCACTCGTGTAAGGTTTCCTGCAAGCATCCTGGAGGATCCCGTCCCTCCAGGGTCTGCAAAAGCCCCATGTTCTGCGTGTGCAGATGGGCTTCGCTCGAGACTTTGGACACGGCCTTGGGCTCTCTCCATGTGGCACTAACCCACTCGTGTAAGGTTTCCTGCAAGCATCCTGGAGGATCCCGTCCCTCCAGGGTCTGCAAAAGCCAAACTTGCCCCCCTCCCCAGTCTCAGCAAACTGTTTGCAGAGGAAGGGTCATATCAGGCAGCGGCAGGAAAGGGGGATCCCAATGCCCCCGGCTCCTCACCCCCCCGGGGGGGACAAAACTGAGACGTGATGGTTTCAGAAATCCGGGTTTTACTCCACGGCCAGTTGACGAGCCGTGCGTGGGAGCGGTGCTGTGTAAGGCGGTCGGTAGATCTGCCAGGGCAGGTTCTCGTAGGGTGAGCAAAATCGCTGCCTGGACGATAAAGCCAGCTTCCCCCGCGCCGCCCCTGGGGTTTGGGACCGGGTGGCTGAAGTTTGGAGGGCTGGGATTTCCCCAGGAACAGGGCAAAATGGTAGGAATAAATAGGTTCAATATTAATAGTTAAAACCTGAAGGGAACTCGGAGGCGGTTTGAGACCAGCCAAGGAAGCCGGGATGGCCGTGAGCCAGCTGAAAGACACAGGGACCCTGTGGCTCTGAGGGCTTCACCTTAACGTCCCAAACCCCTCCAATGGGGGATAAATGGAGGCAAACTATGCGATGGAGTGGTGGGAAGAGCTTTGATAATGATGATGCAGGGACAAATACTCTTGTTTGGGCTCCTCAACACAGCGTGGTGCCGCCGGCAAGAGCTAAACGCCGGCTGGAGATGGCCCCGAGTCTGAGCCCAGTGCCCGAGCCCAGCGGCAGAGGCAGGTGATCTTTGTGTGCAGAGTTGGTCTGTAATTCCCCATACAAAAAATACGATTAAGGAATTTATGGTGGTGTTTACTGGACAAGGAGACAGCAGTGATATGATTTATCACCCCTGTCACACTGCGTTGCCCAAATAGCATCTGTGATGAAAAGGCTTGCTGCCACCGAGAGCAAATAAAAGAGGAATTTGTCTCGATAGTAAAATTAGCTGTTGCCGAGCAGATCCAGACCCAGCGACGGGGACGGTCATACGTATCACGCAGCAGGAGACTGGCAGGGCTGCAAAAGCCAGTGTCCATCTGGGCACGGGGAAGAGCAGAAGAGCATCCAAGGCATCGCCACGCGGCCCTGAAACGAGGGCAGGCGTGCGGGAAGCCTGCAGCAAACGAGCCCCGCTGAGAGCACGGCACCCGCCTGCTGCCCTGGGCTCTGGGCAGAAATGCACCGGCAAATGGGTCCCGTCTTCAGGCTTGGTCTGCCTCCCTTTCTGGCGGCGTTGCCCCACGGGGACGGTGTCTGGAGGAGGAGAGGGCTGGGAGCTCATCCTGGCAGCCACCCGTGGGGGATGCAGGGTGGGTGCAGAGCTGGGGCCCGAGCCCACGTGCCGTGGGAGCTGCCCTGGCACCAGAGCCCTTCCTGCAGCCGCTCTGCCTGCTGCGAGAAACGCTGCGGGTCCCCTCCCCGTGCGTGCACAGGCACATGCACGCACACACACGTGTATGGACGTGGGCATACGCACACGTGCACATACATGCACGTACATGCGCATGCACCCATGCATGCACACCCACATACGCACATGCATGCACACCCGCACGCATGCATACATACCCACGCATGCACGCACACATGCACGCATGCACACACAAAAGCACATGCACACGAGCATGCTTATGCACCCTCACACGTGTGCACGCACACGCCTGCGCCCACACGTCAGTGCACACGCGTGCACACATGCGTGTGCATGCACAGGGACACGCACACGTGTTCATGCGCCCGTGCACCCACCCACGCCCGCGCAGACAGGGCTGTGGGCGATGCCGGGGCGGCACAG